GTGGGCCCTCTTGGGGGGGGGGGGGGTCGTCTGCCCCGGACGCGCCTGCGCAGTGGTCTCCCTTTAGTGACCAGTTTTCCTCCATCACCAAGGCGGTTCCCCCCGGACCCATGTGGGCGGCCGAAACCGACTGCGTGATGACGTAGAGTAGGTTCGTTAGAGCCCCGAGGGTCGGCTCGCGGCGCACGGGGGAGGGCTCCGTTAGCGTCTCAAGGAGGCTATGCGAGGACCCCCGAAAGCTCTGCTCTCGCGCGCCTCTGAGCCAGGGGCTGCCCTGGGCAGGCCCCGGCCCGACACGTGGCCCCCGCCCCGGGCGCGCCCACCACCCTCCCAGCGGCCCGTTCCCGGTGGTGCGCGAGTTGCCGCCGCTTAGGAAGCACCCGGGTCCCTCTTGCAGAGGCGCAGCTCCCTTGTCTGAGCGACTGCTGACGCGCAGGGCTCCGCGGTCTTGGGAAGCCCCTGGAGAGCCCCAGTCCGGCCGTCCCAGCTTAAGGAAGCGGGTCGGGGGGCCGCGCGGGCGGGACGGGCGCCAGGCTCCCTGCCGGGGCAGGATCCCCTACCCGGTCTCTGCAGGGCCAGGCCCAGAGGGTGCCCTTCCCGGGGCTGCTTGTTCCCGGGGGACGAGTTATTTATAGTCTCTAATTACGCCTTGCTTTCCCAAGGTCTGTGGGGCACTGTCTTCACAGAATCCCAAACCCCGTGTCCTGAACCGAATCCTTGGGTAACAGGTTTGAGCCCGGGAGCTCTCAGTTGATTTTAAAGATTAGCTACTTTCTGTAGGCCAAGTGATTTTCCTCTTTGTTTCATTTGCATTGAGTTTGAGACCGCTTCATTTTATTACTGGATGGTTATTTCACCTTCCACTCCGTAAATTAGTAGAGGCAGTCCTGTCTCATCAGTAGCCTGTTCAGCTCTGACAATCCCGGACCCAGGACCAAGGTTTCAGACTCCCCGCTGAGCTCTTCTCTGGGAAGTTCATTGCAGTGTCCTGGCCCTTGCTAAAGCAGATAGGTGAGAAGTCGGGCAGAGGGGTGGGAGGTGAGCTCTGCCCTCCGAGAGAGCTTGCTCGCAGCAAGGCAGCAAGGGGAAGCCTCCGGTCTGGAGCAGAGAGCATGTGCCAGGCCGGCACCCTGCAGGCACTGGCTGAATTTGTCAGTCTGATGAGTTCCTTGGCCCAAGGCTCTGGCAGTGTTGGCGCAGCTGCCAGGCCCTGTCACCCTGGGCACTGCCTAGCCCTTGGCATGGGGTTTATGAAGCCTCTGCTAAGGCGGTAATAGGCACGGCGGACTCTGTGAAGCACGCTGTGTCTTACAGTTGTGTGCACTGTGGAGAGAAACCTTCTAAGTATTTTTATTTAGAACAGTATGATGGTGTGCAGGAAGCCAGGTAGCACCCGGCCAGCCAGGGTTGGATCTTGGCCCTGTTGGCCTCACACCTGGGATACTGATGGGATAGAGAATTGGAAAGAGGAGTGAGGTGTGACCAGCCTCCTTTGGGGATTGTGCTGGGGCACAGCCTCTCTCTGTCACCTGTTCTCTGGCGTTAAAAAATACTTGGAGGCCCGCGCTGTGGCCTGGTGGTTGAGGCAACCAGACGCTACGTGGCCAGCCACATGGTTTTAGTCCCAGCAGCTTGAGAAGCACGCTGAACTCCTGCGTGTGTGCATGCCCCAGATCGGTATCGGGTCAGGACACGCAAATGAAGAGGGGGTTGCAGCATAATCTTTCCTTTTATTGGAGGGGTGCTGTCTCCCTTTCCCTCTCTGTCTTTATCAAGCACTCACACTGGAGAAATTGGGGGAAAATTTTAGAATAGCATGAAACCCAGTTTTGATGGAAATCTGAATTATATGCTCTAATCTTTTTTAAGAATTGTTTTATTTAACTTGAATTATTTTATTTTAATTTAACCAGAGAGGGACAGAGAGAGGGTAAGTGAGAAAGTAAGCCACTGGGTCTGGGACTCGAACTGTGGTTGCCCATGACCAGCACCTCTGAGCACCACGCCACCTGCTGGGCCTGCTCTAATCTTCTAATTGTGACTTTTTCAGTTGTAGACAACCAAAATAGCAGTGTTTAAGTCTGTACAGTTTGGGGGGCTTGGTTTTTTGGGTTTTTGTTTTTTTTTTTTAATGTACCAGCCTTATTTAACGGCATTGCAGAGCTTAAATGGGATCATGCCCCAGTGCACAGTAAGGCCGTAACCCTGAAACACCAGGATTGCGGGGGAAAAGTAAAGAAGGGTGCAAGGTGTGGAGCGAGGATGGCGAGATGCTTCTCAAATCTAGCTCTCTTAACATAAAAAAGTAAAGTCTTTTCTAGAGGAGTATTTCCCCACCCATGTCCTCAGTCTAGTCCTGTCTAGAAAGGCAGGAGCGGGACTGGCACTGTTTCGATTGGTTGATCAGAATCACAACTCTTACTTCCTCAAGTTACATATGGAGGCTTGAAACGGGTACTTTGGGTACTTTTCTTCGGCTGGGCAGGCCCTTGCAGCTGCAGCCAGGCTTAGGGCATCCCCCTGAGGTGGTGGGTGTTCGTGCCCTGCAGGCAGGCTTACACAACCAAGTCAATACAAGGTCTTGCCACTCCCTCCTCCCCCACCCCAATTGGAAAAGTAACGCTGGGGAGGGTAGGCAGTGCTCTGACACGCTCAGTGGTGCAGGAGAGGGTTCTGTTTCTACTAAGTTCAAGCTGGGCAGGCAAGGCAGGTTCATGGTTTACCGAGCAAACAGTAATAGCTGAGTAACTATCAAAATGTGTTGCCCAGGTTCAAGGACAAGGAACAGCTCCTTTAAAGGCTTTTTAAAATTTGCACAGTATTTGGAAGGAATGACTTAGTTCTCTGAAACAAACCCGAAGAAGGTGGCAGCCATTGCCTAGCAGAAACGGGGTTGTTGGTGGAGTGTGCGTTAGCATACCAACTCGTTCCCTGTTCTCACCCCTGCCCAACCAAGTTGGAGTGCCTGATGCAGTTGGTGAGCGCAGGCGCCACTCTGGACGTGTCCACCTCACGGTACGCGCAGACGCCGGCCCACATCGCGGCTTTCGGAGGGCATCCTCGATGCCTGGTCTGGCTGATCCAAGCAGGAGCCAACGTGAATGAACCGGTAAGAGTGCGAGCGTGCGGGCTCTCGTTTGGGCTCTCTCCAGCTATAACTGCCTACTCGACATGTCTGGGCTTTAATTAGTGGTTGATACTTTACCTGAGGGTGGACTAGGATTTGTGTTCTTTAATTACGTGTGGGTAACGGGCCCTTCCCAGAGGAACGCTCTCTGTTTATGGAGAGCATCCACCTGTCAGTGCCTCCTGCAGCCACGGGAACCCAGGGCTCAAGGTTATGGCTGGTAATTGGAGGAGGCTGGCCTGGAGCCCAGATTTCTTTGCACCCCTGCTCCCAGCTGCCATAGCTCCGGCTCCACAGGTAATTGGGAAAACACAGCTGGGTAGCACGAGAGCGGCCAAGTCAGCTCCAGGGTGAGTTAATGTTGCATCAGGGGACGTTGGGGTGATAACTGGGTGCAGATGTGGAGCTAGTTCAGGTGGGAAGAGCCACTCGGACTTGGCATTTTTAGGTGAAGTGTGCACACGAGTGTGAGTGGGCCACATTTTTTGTGGCATGTTTTCAGTATCTTTTTTTTCTTCAGGATTATTTTATTTAACTCTATTTTAGTATGACCAGAGAGGGACAAGAGCAAGAGAGAGGGGGAAAGTGAAAAAGCAAGCCAACAGATCCAGGGCTTGAACCACAGCCGGCCATGTGGGAGTCCAGCGTCCTTAAGCACCACACCACTTCTCGGCCCTGTCTTTAGTGTGTTTTCACAGAGTGAGACATGCACATTCAGTGACCTACATCTAGACGCGGAGGCATCCGGGTCAGTCCTAGGGCCGCTCCCTTCTGTTGGGCTGGGCCGCCGGGCCTGGCAGCTGCTTTTTATGCCATTTTATCTGCTGCTGCTTCTCCCAGTCATCAGGGTTCATGGTGTGCCAGGCAACTTGTGTATCCTTGCCACTTCTCTGTCTTTCCCAAGGTCAGTCCCTTGATTATAACCAGTAGAAGGTACTTGCCCCTCTCCAAAACATAGCTCAGCTTCCCCCAAGCAGCACATAGTGGAAAAGAAGGTGTTTTCCATCCTGGTTTAACAAGGGTCAGTGGAAGGGGAGAGTCAGGGACAGGGGGGCAGTTTGTTCTCCCTAGGAGATTTTTACAGCGGGGCAGTGCAGGGGGGGTCCAGAATTGTAAGCCTGTTACTGCAGCTCTGGACAGTGGCCTGCAGGTCACTGGCCCTCTCCCCCTTCCCTCCCACCTCTGCAGCTGTGCCTGTAGGCGTGTGCATCCCTGCTGCTCTTGCTATACACACGTGTCCGAGAGTCAGGGTGACCCTCTGCATGCCCATAGGGCCGGGCCTGGGCGGGCTATCCCCGTTCCCCTCCCTGTCTCCTGGTAGGAAGGGCACTGCTGGCTACAGTCCAGGATCTGCCACCTTTAGGTAAGTCACTTGGTCTGTGGCTCAGTCTATGAACAGAATGTGGCTCTTAATCCCATTGGTGGCTGCAGTTACTTCTTTAACAGGGAGTGGAAGTATAGGATATTTTGTGTGTGCATTTTCATTGAGCTGTTACATAGCACCAAGTTTATAGAAAGGTGTAAAGAAAATGCCTAACCTTGCTTTTCTGACCTTTTTCAGTCTTGGAGTTTGCTTTTCAGATAGTGTCTTACAGCGGTCTACACTAGTGAGTGGGCATGAGCGGCAGGTGTGTCCCTCTGCTCTGCCTCCCTGTGGGTATCCAGCACCCCCGTGTACTCCCTTTGTGGGCGTCCCTAAGGCTCACCTCTCGCTAGGCTGTCCTTCGACTTCGTTAGGTGTCTTGGAACTTCTGAAAGGGTCCTAGGGCATGTGGCTTCCGGATGGATAGAGCTGAGGTCAGTCCCCGTCCCATAGTGGTTGGCGAGCTGTCTCACGGCAGGCACCATGACCTCCAGGTCACAGCGGCCCATCGTTAGCTTCTCAGTGCATGGGTAAGTCACCTGGAGGTAGACTGTTTTTCTCATTTCCCATGGACCCTGTTAGAAAGCCCGGTCCAGGTCGGAGCAGGCAGGTGGCATGGTGGTTAAGGGTGCTGGACTCCCACGTGGCCGACTGAGGTTCAAATCCCGAACCTAATGGCTTGCTTTCTCGCCTACCCCCCACACTTTGTCCCTCTCTGGTCAAATTAAGATAAATAAATAAAGTCAAGTCATTGTTTTTAAGAAGAAGAAAGCCAGGGCCAGGTCTTCTCATTCTTCCTGTGTGGGTGTAACTTTTGTGACCCTGGCAGTGCTTCTTGGTCCTGTGCTGGTTTCAGCCCTCCCTAGTCTCACAGTCCGATGGCAGGCTAGCTGCCGACAGCCAAGTTCATCTTTCCTCACAGTCAATGGAGATTTCCTCGGCCAACACTGGGTGAGCCTGTGAGATTCGCTGTCTGCTGGCTGTGTTCCCTGTTGCTCCAGAGAGGAAGGGAAGTGCTTTCAGTTGATTGACTTTTAGCAAGTGCAAGGCATCTCTGCAATGCCCCTTCTAGAATTGTGCTGCCATTCAGTGTTGCCTTTAGTATCTAGATAGAAGTCATCGTTTTCTTTATTAGAAACCACAATGCCTTGCCTGTCTTCAGGTTTCTGGCACCTGTCCTTGCTGTAGTTTTGGGATCACATGGTACTCCCCCCTGCATCCTTCAACTTAGGATGCACGTGCTCACTGGAGAAGGGCAGAGAGAGGGAGAGTGAAGACTCACCCCCTGGGGAGGTGGCCACCCTGCTGCCATCCCGTTTCCATTCCCTGTGTACCTGGCATGTTTCTGAAGCCACCGTCCGGAACTCAAGTTGTGCAGTTGGCCACATGGGATCCATCTGCCTTAACCTCCACACCACCTGCCAGCCTAGACACAGATACTGCGGGGGTGGGGCCATGTTTACTGGAGGCTTGCTTAGCCTTGGGTTTTTCCTTAGTGTTTGTTCTGCCCGTTCTTATTTATTTACTTTTAAGAATTATTTTATTTAACTTTATTTATTCGCTTATTTTTTATTTAACCAGAGAGGGACAGAGTGAGAGAGAGAGAGAGATCAAGCCGCCAGGTCCAGATTCAAACCCTGGTGGGCCATGTGTGACTCCAGTGTCCTTAGCCACCACACCACCTGCTGGCCCCCGCCAGTTGTTCCTGTAGAACACAGAGCAGGAGCTCGGTGGCTTTGCCCTATCTTCTTTTTTTGAAAGGTTTTCACTATAGGGCACGTGTGCTCGCCAGGCAGAGAGAGACATAGAGACAGAAAACGAGAAATCACCGCCAGGGAGGATGGCCACACCGCAATCCCCTCTCCTCCATTCTCCTGTTTCAAGCCACCGGGTCCGGGACGCGAACCGTGGTCGACTATGTGGGAGTCCAGCGACATAGCCATTACGCTAACTGCTGGTCCCCTTGCCCCATCTTCTGAAACAGTATAGCAACCCCTTTTTCATCTTAGTCCCCTTTTTTTTAGTCTTTTTTTTGTTTTAGGGCGTGTGCACTTGCCCAGAGACAGGCAGAGACTAGGAAAATGAGAACTCCCCAGGGGCATGGCCAGCTGTAATCCCTTATTCTCTATTCTTCTCTAAGGGTTTTGGGCATGGACGCACTCATGTCCAGCCACAGGGTCTGGGACTCAAACCACATGGTGGACCATGTGGGGTCCAGCTGCCTTAACCTCCACGTTATCTGCTGGCTCATCTTTTCATCTTATTCCAAAGGTAATTCTTTTTTATTTTGAGAGGTTTTTGCTATAGGGCACATGCGCTCGCCAGAAAGACAGCAAGAAATCGCCCCCTAGGAGGCATGGCCACGCTGCAGTCCCTTCTTAATTCTCCTCTCGGGATCTTGTGCGCACACGTGTGCACACACGCCCAGCGTGAGTTTAAGCCACTGGGTCTGGGACTCAAACCATGGTTGACTACATGGGAGTCCAGCGACATAGCCATTATGCTATCTGCCGGTCCCTCCAAAGATAATCCTAAAAACCTTTTTCTTGAGCATTTTGTATAGACTTCTAAATCTTAGTTATGGTTTTCCTGGCAGTGTTTTTGTTTTTAAAGAGGTTTTTGCCTTAGGGCACCTGTGCTCTCCAGAGAGAAAGACAGAGACAAGGGGAAAGGGAGAAATCACCCTGGGGGGCGCGGGGATGACTGTGTTAGAATCCCTTCTCCATTCTCCTCTCAGGATCTTGGGCATGCACGCACATGTTTTCGAGCCACCAGGTCGGCCACGTGGCAGTCTGGCTATAAAACTGCTGTGCTGCCTGCTGGTCCTTCTAGCAGTGTTTTGATGTAGTGTGTGTCATTGTGTATGACTTCCTGCTTCCCCTTTTGAGAGACTAGAACTTGGTTTGTGCTTTCTCAAAAATTGGGAGTTCACTTGATTGGTCCTTGCACGTGGCATTCTGTTTCTTTTTCTTCATAAATGGATTTTTCTTTTTACTTTGGGGGTCCTACCCCTCCCTCGGGTGTTGGCAGAGGAGCTGGGGGTATACTGACTTCACACGTGGACTGCCCTCTGAGCTGCTTCCTGCCCATTGCCCCTTACCTTGTAGGCGGGGCTGCCTGTGCGAAAGCAGCTTCCAGCACCACCGAGGGTGCTGACCCAAGCACTGCTGCTAGGGCCGGCAGGTGGCACGGAGCTGAGTGCTGGTCTCCCACATGGCCTGCCGCAGCCCAGGTCCCGAACCCAGTGGCTTGAAGATCGTGCCAGAAGTGTGTGCCCAAACTCCTGAGAATGGAGGAGAGGGACTGCAGTGTGGCCATCCTCCCTGGAGGGTGATTTCTCACTTACCCTCTAGATGTGTCTCTAACACCTGCCAGCACACATACCCAATGCAAAAAACTTTAAAAAAAACAGAGCCATAACGTAATGTCTAAGTCGCTGGACTCCCATGTAGTTGACCACGGTTCGAATCCCAGACCGTGGGACCAGCAGTTAGCATAATGGCTATGTCACTGAACTCCCATGTAGCCGACCATGGTTCTAATCCCGGATCCAGTGGCTTAAAATTCACACTGGGCACGTGTGCGTGTATGCCCAAGATCCTGAGAGGAGAATGGAGGAGAAGGGATTGTGGCGTGGCCATCCCCCCTGGGGGGTGATTTCTCTCTTTTTGTCTCTCTGTCTGTCTGGCGAGCGCCCCCGCCCTATAGGAAAAACCTCTCCGAAAAAAAAAAATTGCTTAGTCCTCAGCATCCCCAGATAGAAAGTCTTAAACTGAATTTTTGAACAGACACGACCACCTCCTCGCGATTCTTTGTACCTTTGGTTACATTTATTTTATCTCTTACTTATGTGAATACCTATGCAAATTGTATTTCAGATTGTTTTCATTCATATAGTGTGAACAAATTGCTGTTTTGGATGGTTGCATTAGCCTCTACAGTACCTTCCAAGGCTGTTCACTTTCTCTTGTTTTTGGTCATTACTATTTTAACTCTATTTATTATTGTTTTCCAATTTGACCAGACAGAGAGGAGGAAATTGGGAAAGGAAGCTACCAAGTCTGAGACTTGAACCAAGGTGGCCATGTGGGGGCCCAGCACCTTGACCACCACACCACCTGCCTGCCCCCAAGGCTGTTCCCTTTCTCTGACTCTGAGGCGTCACCATGCCACCTGCAGCGGCCCTTTCTGAAGCATAGCTCTGGTCCGTAGATGACACTTGCTGTACCATCTTGTCTGAACTGCGGTCCCAGCTCAGGGTCAGGGTAGAGAAGCGAGGTAGACGGGGGCAGTTCTGACTTGGGCTGCCGTCCTGGGCACGGAGGAGCGCTGCTGGGCAGACACCTGCCGCCCTCCTTGCTGCCTCCTGGCCGTGGCTCCTGTTTTAAAGTTGTTTTGTCACAGGACAAGTTTGTGTGGCTATGTGTGACACCTCTGTGCGGAGACCCTTCGCATAATCCGTTCAGGGGAGGCCCTGTGCATTTTGGTTATTGACTCAAACTTACACCTGGGCTTTTTATCTTTTCTTCACACTTTTTTTTTAAAGATAGATTTTTGCTATAAGGCATGTGTACTCACCAGACAGAGACAGACAGAAAGCAAGAAATCACCCCCCAGAGGGATGACCACGCCGTGATCCCTTCTCCAGTCTCCTCTCAGGGTTTTGGGCGTGCGTTTTAAGCCACCGGGTCCAGGAATCAAATCGCAGTCAACTGCTACGTGGGAGTCCAGCGACATAACCAGCACACCATCTGCTGGCCCCTCTTCACACATCTGTTAATCTTTGTGTTGTGCTTTGAATGTTGCTCACCGTCTTGTATTTCCAGGATGAGAGACCCCTGGCCCTTGCGGGCTGTTTGACCTAGGATGCCCGGAGCCCTGCCGGCTCTGAGTGTTGGTGCCGCTGCTCTGTCGTTTCAGGACTGCGAGGGCGAGACGCCCATTCACAAGGCGGCCCGCTCGGGGAGCCTGGAGTGCATCAGTGCCCTTGTGGCCAGCGGGGCTCAGGTCAAGTAAGTGTCTCCGTTGATTCTTCCAGTCACACACAGACGCAGTCCAGGGTGTGGTGGCGAAGGCAGCATTTAGGCCAGCAGAGGACCAGGGACGGTTTTAAAATTAGTGTAATTTTGCCTTTTAGGTCCCTGGGTGTTAGAGATAAACTGGATTCAGCTGGCCGTGCGCAGAAGGGGAGCTTTATTTCCACAGCTCCAGGATTTGTGAGATGAGTGTGTGGCAGGATGGAAAGGACGGTTAACTGCTTAGGCTGTCACTTGGCATCACCGACTTTGCCACTAACTAGCTGTGTCACTGTGGGCAAGTCTCAGACTTTGCTCTGCCAAGTTTTAATTTTACAACGAGGGGTTTGGATTGGCTTAAAGTATCTTTTCAGACCCCTTTGTCGCAAACGTTTTTGAAGACTTAGTTCTGAGTTTTGGTTTCCTCATCTTAGTAGATGTGAGCCCGTTATGGCTGGATGAGTTACAGCTCCCCGTGTAACGGGCCAGCAGCCGTGCGTTGGCAGACTTCCGCAGGGCTGCCCGCTGCTGGTGCTGAGAGCGGGATTTAGGCCCCTCCCTGTTTCGGCCAGTTTGCATCAACTAGTTGATTTATGGCTTGATAGAACCGTCTTAAGGTTAAAGTTATTAATTTAGAAATGTGATCCTTTGTGCAAATTATTAGTTAGCCATGGCATTACATGTTTATTTTAGGTATTAAATTAATTTGTATTAACTTTCTCTTAAAGATTTATATTATACAATTTTTCTTCTGCAGTTCACAGCATTAACAAAATGGATGCGGTTTTCACCCTTAAATGTTGAGTGTAAGCTATAGAGCTGTAGTAACCAAGATAACTGATAATGTCAGCTTTTCTGTTTTATCTTAAGTGTTATAAATAATTCATAAAAATTCATTATAAACCACTTTATTCTAATTGGAAAAGTGAAAATGTAAATGTTGGGAGAAATAAAACCCACAACACTAACTTAGTTTAATTTAACCCTTTGGTTTCCATTTCCTGTTTTGACTCTGTATTATAGTAAATAATGAAAGTAGGTCCCGGGCAGCACAACAGCACAGATCATCGTGAGGCCTGAGTACCTGAGGCCGTAACCAGTCTCTTGGTACCTTGGCTTCTGTTTCATCGAGAGTTGTGAGCAAGGTTAGTCTTTAGTTTGGGCTTAGAGCCTTTACTTACGTGGCAGTTCAGCGCTATAAATAGGGCCTCTGTCGTAAGTCTGTTACCTCGCAAGGACCCTGTGACTTCGTTTGTAGTTATGACTTAAGGTAATGTACAAACGATCGTGTGGGTGTATGTTCTACGAGTTTAAGTCATTGAGGTCATTCTCAATGGATCGCTTTAAAGTTAGGATTTTCTTAGCTGCATTTAGATTAAAAACTCAAATCTTTGATTTTAATAGAAGCTTTGAAAATAAATACAGAGTCATATATAACACAATTGATTTAATTGCTTAATTGCCATTTGTTGAAATAATGGATAGTTAGAAGCGGATCGCTTTAACAACTTACTTTTCTAAACACTACTCTTAATCGGTCCTAAAATTTTCTTACAAAGATGTCAGTTTTATTCATTTTAATGGATAACTTAATCCTATTAGCCAGTAAATATCATTATGTCCTTTTTTCCAGTAGATGTCTTTTTAAAAGTGAGAATCTTCTATTTACGATTCTGTCCTTGGTTACAGGACCCTCAAGTGTCTCTTTTCCACCAGGTGTGGCCGAGCACGGCCTCGGGGCCAGTGTGTTTTTCCTTCTCAGTATAAGAGCCACCCCCTCAAGACCCTGCGTACGGTGACATCCCTGCACTGAGCTCTCAGACACCTCCTTTCTGAGAACAGCTTAGCCCGAGCTGTCTAGCTAAAAGCACTTTTTGAAAGTATGTCTCTGGCCTTGAAAGAGAGCACTCGTAATCATAGTTGCTATTATATATGTGGTCATTACATTTTAATATTGAAAATGTCAGTTTTGCCAGTAAGTCAAGTTGAAAACTGCTTTTTGATATCTGCTCTGCACATTTTTGTAGCTCACCCCCATTTAGTCTCCCGACATCTCACTTCGAAGTCCCAGAACTACGGTGCTTAGGTCTGTTCTACTCATTCTCTGTAATGCTCTCATATGGTAAGGCCTAGCCAATAATGTGCCTTCTTTGTTTGTTTTAAGAGAAGATCAAGGGTCATAGAATTAATTTACTTATTTAATGTTGCTTATTTTTTTCCAGTTCAGAATGGGCCAGATTATTTATTCTTCATATTATGTAATTACAAATTTTGTTGTTTTTTTTTCTGTGAATGGATTAAAAGCTGCCTGTCAGTATTATGAATAATTGTTGCTTTTAATATATGTACTTACATGAAGCGGCCCGAATCTTAAGCCGTGTGCTGTTTCGGTTACCAGGTAGATGGTAAGAGGGCGAGTGTGCTGAGTAGCTAGAACGGCTTATTACATTATTACTGTTAATGTAGGTTGCAGCTATAAGGTAACGCATTTCAGCCGCTGTGCATCGTATTAAATTTTCTAGCACCACACGTGAGTATGTTAATGGACTTTCTTTTCTTCTCTTATTTTAGATCTTGAGTTTTGGTGCCAAGTTTTCTTTTCCTCATGAGATTCTGTTTCTGGCTTAAACCATAGGCATTACTGTTTGCCATTGCTTACATCTAAAAGCTAAATACACAGGGTCAAATCTCAGTTCTGTGCCCACGCTAAGTGTGTGTGTACTTCAGAGGGCCTCGCCCGCAGCGTCCAAGGGCAGCTCGCGGTGATTGCTTGAGCGCTCTTCTCCCCGCGCTGCCCCCGTGTAGTCAGGGCTCCCCGTGCAGCCGGTACGTGAGCGCTGCTCACTCCCCTCAATTCAGGGGAGAGGTGTGTGCCAGCAGTGCTCTTGGGGTGGCAGGATAAGTAGCAGCGAGCTAATCGCGTCTGTGTGGTTTTGGGAAAGGCCATGGAAAACTCGCTGTCCGTGTGCAGGAATTACGGTGGCCCTGCACACCGAGGCGAGAGGTCGCCAACGTGGTCAGTCCATGGTCTGGAGCCTTGGATTCACCTTTGCTCTAAGCGTTTTGAAACCAGTTCATTTTAGCCAATTTGCCTTATTTTCTTGAGAGAAAGTGGAGAATGCTTCCGAGCCATCCAGTAGCTGGATGGCTTGTCTTATGCCATGAGGCGGAATCCAGAGCGCTAGCTGGACTCGGAGTGAAAGCAGACGGCAGGTGTCTCAGGCACGTCTGCCTGTCCATTGAGTATCCCGTTACACAAGTGATGTTCAATGGCAGAGCCATTGCATGCGTTTCTGGAGGAGAAGCTTGCTTGCTTTTTTAATTTAAAGAATTGTTTTATTTAACTTAACTAATTTTAATTTGACCAGAGAGGGAAAGTAAGAAAGCAACCCGCTAGGGCTGGGGCTCGGAACCGTGATCGACCATGTGGGATTCCAGCGCCCTTAGCAACAACCATGCCACCTGCCTGCCCAGGGTAAGCAGATCTCGAAGTGGGCTCTGTGTGTTTGAATTGTTTTGATCCCAGGAGAAATTTAAGTGTGGTAATGAAATAGCTACAAGAGCATCTGTAGCCCTGTAAGAAGTTCAGGAACTCCTCTAAAGACATCTTTTTTGATCAATTTAGAAAATAGGCAGAGTTGGCCATAAGGACCAAAGGCTAGAATGTGTTGATAGACTTTTCAATGGTGAAAAAAAAAAAAAGCCACTGAATTGTGTGCAAACCTCCGCCAGTGATTAGTCAGGTGCAGCGCTGGCCAGGCCTGCCGGCCTTCATTCATGCCTGCCGAGCCCCACCTGGCAACAGTGCCCTTACAGGACTGCCTGGTTAACAGCATTGTCAGGAATTGGCTTGAACGTTTTTCCTTTGGCGAAATTCACCCTAGGTTGCTTCTCAGTCCATTCTCTTGGAATTTGCAAGGGCCTGTTGTTCACTCATCTATCCTGCAAAGTAACTGTCCAGTTAACGAAATTCACTGGAACTGAGACTAGATTCACATTTTCTGATTCTAGAGCCTTTGAATTCTAGTTGCCCACACATCCTGGTATTAGCCTCTTTGCCTGTCTCTACGATAACCCTGTCTGAGCTTGTGCTTCCTGCTCTTTTCTTTTATTATAAAAGTATTTCAGGGTGGAGGAGTTTCTTCCTGAGGTAGCTTTTAGAGTCCTGCCTGCCAGGCTGAAGCAGGTGGTGGGCTGATAGAGTTCTGAAGTTGACAGCAGATTTAGTTCAGAATTTCAGTTGCGTTCGTAATGGCTCAGATATACATAGATTTTAATATTTTTTTAACCACTGCTTTTATAGATAGTGCTTTCAGGTAAAACCAATGATTTCTAAATCCTGGTCCTTCTCGCCTGTGCTAAATTAAAGTGGGAGCTGTTAAATGCTTCCTCAGCTCGAACGATGGGCCTGTATTTGGTGTGTGAGCATAACCGCAGTTTAATTGTAAGGCAGGCCATTCCAGCAGTGTTGAACTTGAAATGAAAACTTGGCACCAAATTTATTCAGGTAGAAACTTTTAAAGAAATAGTTGCTTCCTATTGTTAATCAAAGACTATATTTAAGAAAGTCTTGATAATTATATGAGAGTTTGGATACCAAAGGGTTAAAAATACACGTATTTCTTTTACTGAGGAAATAGTAGATGTTTGCTAATGTTCTGTCTACAAATGGACATAATTCGTAATGTTTTTTATGTTTTTTTTTTTTTTTAATGATTCCATGTATTTGCTTATTTCCATCTAGGAATAGTTACTAATGTATTTGAGATACAGCATACCAAATTTTAAAGTAACCAGAATCGTGAGTTGATGGTTTCTAGTCCATAATGTTGAACTTTTGTTGAATATTGATATATTTAAATTGGCTTCATGCTAAAAATTTTCCAAAGGTAACTTAAAAGGCAGTGTTTGAGCGATCGCTCACAGTCCAGGTAGTCACGGGACAGTGACTTCCGCTCAGTAAATATGCTTCTGCACCTCTGCGTGTGTATGTATTT